ATCAACCTCAGTAATTATAGGATGTGAGATGAGACAGCAGCCACACGGTTGGTGGTGGAGAATACAACCGAGCCACAGAATGTTAGATTGTATATTCATCCTAGTAGAACGCTCGTGGCTGAACAGTACAACACTGATCCTTCTACTCACATGGACCACGGTTCGAGTCCCTAGCCATTCTTCTGTTTATTCAATGACAGTCATTCAGTACAACACTCATCTTGGGTTTACGGTATCGGTATCTGTTAAAAAACAGTCAATGCTTTTTAAAATACTCAAATTACAAGTGTGGTTAAAAAATCAACAGCAACACTACTTGACGATTGTGAGAGTTACTCAAGCAGACACACACACAGACAGACACACACACACACACACACACACACACACACACAGTATTTCTTCAGTCATAGAGTTGTAAGGCAGTGGAATAGCCTAGAAAATGACGTAGTGGAGGCAGGAACCATACACAGTTTTAAGACGAGGTTTGATAAAGCTCATGGAGCGGGGAGAGAGAGGGCCTAGTAGCAACCGGTGAAGAGGCGGGGCCAGGAGCTAGGACTCGACCCCTGCAACCACAAATAGGTGAGTACAAATAGGTGAGTACACACACACACACACAAAGGCTGCAAACCTCACTCAAGGAGAAAGACCTAGGAGTGAATATAATACCGAGTACATCGCCAGAAGCACACATTAACCAGATAACTGCTGCGGCATATGGGCGCTTGGCAAACCTGAGAATAGCGTTCCGGTACCTCAGTAAGGAATCGCTCAAGACTTTATACACTGTGTACATCAGGCCCAGCACCAGTTTGGAACCCACATCTGGTCAAACACGTCAAGAAATTAGAGAAAGTGCAAAGGTTTGCAACAAGGCTAGTTGCAGAACTAAGGGGAATGTCCTATGAAGAAAGGTTAAGGGAAATCTGTCTGACAACACTGGAGGACAGGAGGGTCAAGGGAGACATGATAACGACAAACAAAATACTGCGTGGAATACACAAGGTGGACAGAGACAGGATGTTCCAGAGATGGGACACAGAAACAAGGGGTCACAATTGGAAGTTGAAGACTCAGATGAGTCAAAGGGATGTTAGGAAGTATTTCTTCAGTCATAGAGTAGTTAGGAAGTGGAATAGTCTGGCAAGCGATGTAGTGGAGGCAGGAACTATACATAGTTTTAAGACGAGGTATGATAAAGCTCATGGAGCAGGGGGAGAGAGGACCTAGTAGCGGTCGGTGAAGAGGCGGGGCCAGGAGCTGAGTCTCGACCCCTGCAACCACAATTAGGTGAGTACACACACACACACACACACACACACACACACACACACACACACACACACACACACACACAAGGGGACACAGTTGGAAGTTGAAGACACAGATGAATCACAGGGATGTTAGGAAGTATTTCTTCAGCCACAGAGTAGTCAGGAAGTGGAATAGTTTGGGAAGCGATGTATTGGAGGCAGGATCCATACATAGCTTTAAGCAGAGGTATGATAAAGTTCAAGGTTCAGGGAGAGTGACCTAGTAGCGACCAGTGAAGAGGCGGGGCCAGGAGCTTGGACTCGACCCCTGCAACCTCAACTAGATGAGTACAACTAGGTGAGTACACACACACACACCACACACATACACACACACACACACACACACACACACACACACACACACACACACACACACACACACGCACGCACACACACACACACACACACACACACACACACACACACACACACACCACACACACACACACACACACCACACACACACACAAACACACAAACACACACCACACACACGCACACACACACACACACACACACACGCACACACACACACACACACACACACACACACACACACACACACACAGGTTAGGTTAGGTTAGGTTAGGTTAGGTTAGGTTAGGTTATTTGTCTTCAAAAAGTTGTATTGTTTGTTTATTTGTCAAGACCCTCCCCTGACACGAGTCTTGATCTTGTCATAAGCCACTGAATTACCACTTTAACCACTGATTAAACACTGTATTGCGTGTCTTACGAAGGTACAAACAACAAGATGAAAGTATATCACAGCGGGTGAATGGAGGTGTGTGGGACTGTGTCATGGTCACCAGGTGTATGTCAGTGGTACATAAAACCAACAATAGGTGTCTAAATCGTCGTAATGGTGACATGAAGGAGCCATCACCTCGTTGTGTCAGTTGTGGGTCATGTCTTCAAGGGGTGACCTCGAGAAAGAGGTGAGATACGGTGCTCTGAGCTCTTTCACGCTGATTCAGAGTGAGATTTTTAGGTGTGTGTGTGACTGGCGTTGTAAATTATCAAGTGTTGTGCCTCCCTTCGTGTTGTTTCCTGAGCTGTGAGAGATTATGAGCCGGGTGAAACATGTGGATAGTGTTTCATGTTCTGCAACAACACTCTATCTCTCAACTCATGACTTGATGGAACTCCTTTATCACGAGCAATAGCCTCTCAAGAGACGTCCTCCGCTCTAAGAGCATCTATCTTAACCATACTTGTCAACACTGCCTTTTAAGTAGGATTTATATTGGTAAATCTTCGTGTCGATCTCTTAATAATAATAATAATAATAATACAAATAATAATAATAATAAACAATTGGAATAATAACAATAATAATAATCTTTATTTCTATAGATATATGATGCAACTTGTACAGACCATGGCCGACATCAGTGACATACTATATAGCAAGTCCCTTGTTATGCGGAGCATTTCCCGCAAATTAGGTTGGTTTTGTCCCCCAGGATGCGACCCACACCAGTCGGCGGGCACCCGGGTACCTGCTTACTGCTGGGTGAACATGGACAGCAGGTGGCTTAAGGAAACACGCCCCAGTGTTTCCACCCGTAACGGGGTTCGAGCCACGAACTTTAGTGTATCATGTGAGTGCACTACGAACTCAGCTACGAGACCAATGCTAGCTTTCCCAGATCGCTGAAGGAACAAGGTTCGAGCCTCACACACACACACACACACACACACACACACACACACACACACACACACACACACACACACACACACACACACACACGCACACACAACCTGACGACACTGGAGGACAGGAGAGATAGGGGGGACATGATAACAACATACAAAATACTGAGAGGAATTGACAAGGTGGACAAAGACAGGATGTTCCAGAGATTGGACACAGTAACAAGGGGACACAGTTGGAAGCTGAAGACACAGATGAATCACAGGGATGTTAGGAAGTATTTCTTCAGCCACAGAGTAGTCAGTAAGTGGAATAGTTTGGGAAGCGATGTAGTGGAGGCAGGATCCATACATAGCTTTAAGCAGAGGTATGATAAAGCTCACGGCTCAGGGAGAGTGACCTAGTAGCGATCAGTGAAGAGGCGGGGCCAGGAGCTCGGACCCGACCCCCGCAACCTCAACTAGGTGAGTACACACACACACACACGCACACACACACACACACACACACACCACGCACACACACACACCGCACACACACGCACACACACACACACACGCACACGCACACGCACACACACACATACACACACACACACACACACACACACACACACAGGCCTAGTGTCTAATCGACATGTGCCTAGGACCAAATGGTAACACACACCACACACACACACACACACGCACACACACACACACACACACACACACACACACACACACACACACACACACACACACACACACACCACACACACACACATACACACACAGGACAAAGACAGGATGTTCCAGAGAGGGGACACAGAAACAAGGGGTTACTCTTGGAAGTTAAAGACTCAGATGAGTCACAGGGATGTTAGGAAGTATTTCTTCAGTCACAGAGTAGTCAGGAAGTGGAACAGTCTGGCGAATGATGTAGTGGAGGCAGGAACCATACATAGCTTTAAGACTACGTATGATAAAGCTCATAGAGCAGGGAGAGAGAGGACCTAGTAGCGTTCAGTGAAGAGGCGGAACCAATATATATATATATATGTATTATATATATTATATATATATATATATATATATATATAAATATATATATATATAATATATATATATATATATTATATATATATATATAACACACGTGGAAGTCTAATCTTGTTAACAGTGTCAATGTTAAAATTACCTTGGTAGTGAAAGCATGCAAGTGGTGGGCAAACGGGTTTACTCAACCTACTGACCTACACTTATGTATAAGCTGTATCCAAAGACGGGCTCCGAGAGTAGTGAAACTCTCGAAACTCTTCAAAGGTATATCTAAGGTATATAAGATTGAAATCGTTTTTTAACCCTCCCCCCTACATTATAATCCTAGTTTTAATCCTGGCTGCACTACAGCAGCAACAGGCACTAAATACCTCTAATTCTCTCCAGTACATCATTCACCTCTGTACTCGACTGAAGAAACCTGCTATGTAGGCGAAATGTTTCGGCAACGAAGATACCCAAGTGTTGCATATAGCATCTTATTCAACCACTTTTCGGTGTTGCACATACCTAATAATAAGGTGAACAGACGACGTGTAAGAACGAAAACAAATTTTGCTAATAAAGACATGTTGCACCAATACAAATAGGTTGAACTACCTGGAACAATTTGTACCAATGGTTATATTGTACCAGTAAAGAAGGTCATCTCCAACTAAGTCTTAGACTGTCAGATACTAAACATATGATTTGTCAGACAGATTATTATAATTATTATAATCATGGGGGAGTGAGAAACCCATAGGATTATAAAGCGCATGGGGGATGGGGTGGAAGGTATTCAGGCTCAGTTCAGGGAACTGGAGCACAGATCCAATTCCCTAGATCAAGAGCCCCTCACCAGCATTTAGGAGCCTCCCTTTAGGGGTTGTCAGACAGAGAATGTCTCAGTTTGATACTGGCTGTTATTACACTGAATATTATGTGCTCTTTGCTCACCTCTAAATAATATTTAAGGAAAACATTAGATAAGTATCAAACCTTTGCGATGTGTTGAGAAGAAGTACTAATACTTATATCGGAGAACGTGGCAGCAGGTGCTGACAGTAGCACACACAAGCTCTCACTATCCTCGCAATGTTTACATCAGGACTGCCAGCTCTGAGAAATGTACAAAGAAGCAAGTAAGAGTGTTGAAAATGTAGTACAATATATACTCACACACACACACACACACACACACACACACACACACATGTACTACAGGCTTAGTGTCTAATCGACATGTGCCTAGGACAAAATGGTAACTAACACACACACACACACACACACACACACACACACACACACACACACACACACACACACACACACACACACACACACACACATACACACACACACACACACAGACACAGACACACACACACACACACATACACACACACTCACACACACACACACACACACACGCACACGCGCACACACGCACACTCACACACACACACACACACACACACACCACACACACACACACACACACACACACACACACACACACACACACATACACACCAGGAGAGCAAAGTTGCTGGTTATGGGGGATTTCAACCACAGGGAGATTGACTGGGAAAACCTGGAGCCACATGGGGGTCCCGAAACATGGAGAGCCAGGATGTTGGACGTGGTGCTGGAAAACCTCATGCACCAACATGTTAAGGACACTACCAGAGTGAGAGGGGAGGATGAACCAGCAATATTGGACCTTGTGTTCACCCTGGGCAGCTCAGATATTGAAGACATCAAGTATGAGAGTCCCCTAGGAGCTAGCGACCACGTGGTTCTGTGCTTTGAATACATAGTAGAGCTGCAAGTGGAGAGAATAACAGGAGTTGAATGGGAAAAGCCTGACTATAAAAGAGGGGACTACATAGGGTTGAAGGACTTCCTGCGGGAGGTCCAGTGGGACAGAGAACTGGCAGGAAAGCCTGTAAATTGAAATGATGGAATATTTTAACAACAAAATGCAAGAGGCAGTGGAAAGGTTTATTCCCAAGGGCAACAGTAACAACGGGAAGACCAGAACGAGCCCCTGGTTTACCCGACGGTGTAAGGAGGCAAAAACAAAATGCAATAGAGAATGGAAAAAGTACAGAAGGTAGAGAACACACGAAAATAGGGAGATCAGTCGCAGAGCCAGGAATGAGTATGCACAGGTAAGGAGGGAGGCCCAGCGACAGTATGAAAATGACATAGCATCGAGAATCAAGACTGACCCGAAACTGTTGTATAGCCACATCAGGAGGAAGACAACAGTCAAAGACCAGGTGATCAGATTAAGGACAGAAGGGTGGAGGAACTCACAAGAAATGATCAGGAGGTATGTGAGGAGCTGAACAGGAGATTTAAGGAAGTTTTTACAGTAGAGACAGGAAGGGCTGTGGGAAGACAGCACAGAAGGGAACATCAAGAGGAATATACCAACAAGTGTTGGATGACATACGAACAACTGAGGAGGAGGTGAAGAAAGCTCTTAAGTGACCTTGACACCTCAAAGGCGATGGGACCGGACAACATCTCCCCATGGGTCCTTAGAGAAGGAGCAGAGATGCTGTGCGTGCCTCTAACCACAATCTTCAACACACCCTTGAAACTGGGCAACTACCTGAGAAATGAGAAGACAGCTAATGTAGTCCCATATTTAAGAAAGGAAACAGAAACGAGGCACTAAACTACAGACCTGTGTCTCTGACATGTATTGTGTGCAAAGTCATGGAGAAGATTTCAGAGGAGAAGTGGTCGAAACACCTGGAAAGGAACAAGATTATAAATGAAAACCAGCATGGGTTCATGGAAGGCAAATCTTGTATCACAAACCTCCTGGAGTTTTATGACAAGGTAACTGAAGTAAGACACGAGAGAGAGGGGTGGGTAGATTGCGTTTTCCTAGACTGCAGGAAGGCCTTTGACACAGTTCCCCACAAGAGATTAGTGCAGAAGCTGGAGGATCAGGCGCTACGTAAAAGGGAGGGCACTGCAATGGATTAAGGGAATACCTGACAGGGAGGCAGCAACGAGTCATGGTACGTGAAGAGGTATCACAGTGGGCGCCTGTTATGAGCGGGGTTCCACAGGGGTCAGTACTAGGACCAGTGCTATTTTTGATATATGTGAACGACATGATGGAAGGAATAGACTCTGAAGTGTCCCTGTTCACAGATGACGTGAAGTTGATGAGAAGAATTAAATCGGACAAGGATGAGGTAGGACTGCAAAGAGACCTGGACAGGCTGGACATGTGGTCCAGCAACTGGCTTCTCGAATTCAATCCAGCCAAATGCAAAGTCATGAAGTTTGGGGAGGGGCAAAGAAGACCGCAGACAGAGTATAGGCTAGGTGGACAAAGACTACAGACCTCACTCAGGGAGAAAGACGTTGGGGTGACCATAACACCGAGCACATCACCGGAGGCACACATCAACCAAATAACCGCTGAAGCATACGGGCGCCTGGCAAACCTGAGAATAGCGTTCCGATACCTTAATAAGGAATCGTTCAAGACACTGTACACTGTGTATGTTAGGCCCATACTGGAGTATGCAGCACCAGTCTGGAACCCATACCTGGTTCAAGCACGTCAAGAAGTTAGAGAAAGTACAAAGGTTTGCAACAAGGCTGTCCCAGAGCTCAAGGGAATGTCGTACGAGGAAAGGTTAAGGGAAATCGACTGACGACACTGGAGGACAGAAGGGTCAGGGGAGAGACATGATAACGACATACAAGATACTGCGGGGAATAGACAAAGTGGACAGAGATAGGATGTTCCAGAGAGGGGACACAGGGACAAGGGGTCCACAACTGGAAGCTGAAGACTCAGACGAGTCACAGGGATGTTAGGAAGTATTTCTTCAGTCATAGAGTTGTCAGCAAGTGGAATAGCCTAGCAAGTGAAGTAGTGGAGGCAGGAACCATACATAGTTTTAAGAAGAGGTATGACAAAGCTCAGGAAGCAGAGAGAGAGAGGATCCAGTAGCGATCAGTGAAGAGGCGGGGCCAGGAGCTGAGTCTCGACCCCTGCAACCACAATTAGGTGAGTACACCCGTGGAGGAGTCACGCGGTTTGAGCTCGTGTTTTGGTGGTAATTTCTGACTGTGCCATAAGGAATAGAGTGTGGGATATAGGCGTGTGCACGCATAAGAGTGCATATAATCACTTAAGCCCCGAAAAAAGGAAATATAAGTGATCACAGAAAAGAAAACAAAGGAAATATTGGCTGAGTGTATAGTGGGGGCCGTTGGAAGGGTGAACGGTTGTGTCAGGCCTAAATAGTGTTGCCATAATAATGCTGTGGGTATTTGAAGAAAAAAGTACGACTCAAGCCCAAAGGGATAAGAGAATGTATAGATTGTCATAATTACAGTGGTGAGGAAAAAATTAGAAAAGCTGAGACTTTAGTGCATAAGGAAGTTAGTGGAAAAATTCCGGAAGCATCAAACTTCTTAATTCGGGGACGGGACAGACCTGAAACTTTTTACTCCACTGCCACCAAAAGAAAATTCACCTATTTTGAGTTGCAGGGGGTCAATAAAACCTTCCACGGGAATTGGGGGTCACCTCTCCCGAGCAAAAGAAAAAAATTTAAAAGAAATTTTACTGGCTTTTAATAAATTTAGAGGTAGCGATATAGGCGAAGCCAGTGTATTTATTTTTTAACGTAATTTTAAATGCATAAGACTACAGGGGGAAACCCAAAAATCGGGTACATATACAAAATTTTAGTACATACGGGGGAAATAAGGATTTTTTACATAAACATTGCACCACACATGAAAAGCTCTGCGAGGCACTTGAATAGCTGTCCCACACACACACACACAAAATCACACAGACAAACACACACACACAACACACACCACACACACACACACACAACACAACAACACACACACACACACAACACCACAACAAATACAAAAAACCCACACATATACAGACACACACACACACCACATATACAGGATTTTACACCTTTCCCTGTGAAGTGACCCTATAACCCTTTCCCTTTTCCCCCCCAAACTCTCTCCCTCTTTCTCCTCTTTTTTTCCTCCCTCTCTCTCTCTCTCTCTCTCTCTCTCTGTCCTCCCCCCCCTTTCTCTCACCTCTCTCTCATCCTCTCTCTTTTCCCTCTCTCTTCCTCTCACTCTTTCTCTCTCTTTTCCCTCTCTCTCCCCCTCCCCTCCCCCTTCCTCTCTTCCCTTTTACTCTCTTCTTCCCTTTTTCTCTCTCCTCTTTCCCTTGTCACTCTCCCCCTCTCTTATTTTTTCCCTCTCTCCTTTTTTCCCCCCCTTTTTCCCTTTTTTTCCCCCTCCTTCTAGGCTCGCCTTCTCTCTCTCCCTACCTCACCTCTCCCCCTTTTTCTTTTCCTTTTTCTCTCCTTTCACTAAAAAAAAAGGTTGGGACCCCCACGGGAAACAGGGATCAGATGACAATGGTACTGGTAGGGAGGAAATGGAGGGAAAAACATAAAAAAGGGGATGAGCAAAATGGGAAAAAAATTAAAAGGTTTCTGAAAAAAGGAGAAAGAGCTCTCTTAAAGGGGAAAAGGGGTTTGGGAGAAGGAGACGAAAAATTGGGAACACAAGTCAAAACTGCATAGCCAGGGAAAAGGGTCCTAAATTTTGGGGGTAAACGGGCGAAGCAAGTCTCAGGGGTAGTGACCAGGAAGACACACCATAGATATATAGGGAACGGGGAAGGAAGGAGATTAAATTATGAAAAGGTCTTTCAGCCTGCAAAAAAGGGGCCGGGGGAGGGGAAAGGGGAAAGAGCAGATGGGTGCAGATGGAGAGGGAATAGGCAAATGTGGGGCACAACCATGCACCAAAGACCACTGGAAAAATCAAGGGAAAAATCCCCCTACAGCAGGAACCAGAGTCACAGGGGGAGGGCGGGGAAAGGGGGAAAGGGCAAAATCGTGATTATCCATGGGCTTGGGAAGAAAGAAAGACACACATGAAAGACGGCAGGAAGAAAAAAAAAGGAAATTGGAAATCATCAGGAAAATAGGGGGAAAGACATGGATGAGTTTTATAAATTTTCAGAGAATGGGGGGGGGTACTTAAAGGGGGGAGAACCCCCGATCAAGCTGATTCTCAGAAAGAAACATGCG